AATTTTTATTTACTTAAGTAATGTCATCTAAGAACCCCAGGAACAAGCACTAAGCAAACAATTGTCCTTTTAACTATCATAATTTATCTTGGCTTTCTAACTATGGCATAAAAGCCATAATTTGTTGATATGAACACTGCCAGAGAAACTTCAGAACTGAAGATGAAATAGACAATACGTTGTACTGAAAACAACATAATAATTTACATCATTTGATAATTTAAAACTTCGTTTTTCTATTGGTTATAAATGACATAGTATAAAACATCAGAGAGAACTATTGGCAACTTGTGAAAAAAAAAGGATTTGACAAGTAGGTCTAATTTTCCAGTTTATGACTCTGTAAACAAATAAAATTGAAGGCTATAAAATTAGATTTTGCTAGTAATACCTATATCATAATGAGCAATTTATGTTAAATTCTGTACTATAGAGAGGGGTGGTAAATACATTAGAGAAGAGAAAGGATCTAGAAAACAAATGTCACAATTCTTAAACAAGAGAAGTTTGAAGATTTTGTTAAATATGTCCTCATAAAATTAAGAAGTTAAAACTTTTATAACATTAAAATTTGGTTTATTTACTATGTTTTCATGCCAAGTTTATTTGTATATTTGGATTAATAAAGTAGTTTAATTAAATTTTGAATGTAACTCACTAAAAAATCACAACACGCAAACTTTGACTATTCATAGCAACAGGATTAAATGCTAAAATTATTAAGTGACATACCTTTACAATTTAATATCTAAGTATTAGATATAATACATTTAACATATTATACTGATTGCAGAATAAAAACTGTTAACTAGTCACTTTGCACCTCATTGGCAAGTGTTTCAAAAATTTCTTGTGACAGCCCAATACATCTTCAAAAATGCTATTTTTTAAGGAAGGGTTGAAGTGTGGAAAAGGCTATACATAGCATTATGAATACAGTTTCTGGACTGTGCCAAGTGGACCAGCACTCCTCAAGATTATATATATAAAACTTTTCTTCATATATACAGAACACACTGCCAACAAGTAACATAAAACCATCGTGACAAGAGAACTGGGTATATATATCAGGGTGAGCCTGTACCTCTACGAGAATATCACTTCTCTTGAGAGATGTAATGAAAAAGTTATGCATTTTCTTCTTCACCAGAACAAACATTCACTTATTTGATAACCAGGAACCCACTTTTAGAAAATAAAATCTAAACATTCACTTAGCCTGTTGATGCACTTACAATATCTACATTATGACTGAACTCAGTGCATAGTACAAATGTAAAAGCAGAGGGATTTTCCTTTTTCACAAATTTTTCTGACACCATGTTAAATCATCAATAGGTGAATCTTCCACATACACCATTTAAAGCAAGAACTCCACAACACAAATTACAATCAATGCTAAGTTTTGATGAAGAATATCAGTATACCATTTCATGGTGATGCAAAAACATTATGGTATGTGAAAAAAATCACGTTTTATATTTTCTATAGTGATATAAAACGTTTAAAATTATTTTTTATTATGTAGTTTCTACAATGTCATGGTGGCAAAGTATGGTCCAGAAAGTCATTAACATTAACTTGTACTAGTTGCTTCATTTCTTTGTTCTCTTTAGTATGTAACACCTTCTCTGTCAACAAAGATAAATCAGTATTATATAAAGCATCTGGGTACATGCACTGTTTTCCTTAATCTATTTGTACAATAAATGTTTTGTTCATTTTTTTCAAAGTTGTCCAGACTTTATTCTACACTTAAAAGGAACTCAGTCCACTTATATAACACACAAACCCCCTTAGTTCTTGGATAAATCTATTATCTGTGAATTCATGTATCTTATACTTGTTGTAAAATTAGTTTATCTGAGAATATCACAATACTTTACCTCTTGAACTTAAGTGGTTATAGTTTGGCATATTTCATCAGCAATATTTGTAAAAAGTAAGGGTTTAACCACAGTCAACAGTCTGTGTTCTTCAGATCATTTAGCATTTATTTTTCCATTACATTTTCAAAATGTTCTTCAATCACTCTGTCACATTTAGTAAAAAAACAATGTCACAAGCTCCTGAAAACTGCCATGAATGAAAGTAGCATCTCCACCACCTTCTTTATGTCCATTTTTATGACAATTTCAAACTTGTTTGGTTGGAAATAGAGCAACATCAATCAAATATTTCAGCACATCTCATTAGCTTTATTCTTTTTGTCTAGCCAGTAAAACTTTTACAAGCTCTTGAGTACCACAATTAGCCACTGTACATGACAGCATTCCAGTGAGTGCTCAACTGCTTGTGCTCTTGTAATAGTAGTTTCCTTCAAGGATATGAAATATTTTCTTTTATAGCATGTGTGCTTATCCTTTGTATTCACATTTCCAAACAGGAAACAAATGTGTTTGAGTTTGTACTTGGTGAGTAAAATAACCATTCTCTCCTTATAAAAGCTTACGTTTGTGAAGCACCATGTTTCGTGACATGAGCAATGTATGTTTCTGAACTTGTGCTTCTGGAATTCCTAATCCTGCTCA